TTTGCACACACAAACACACTTGTCTTTCTGAACTGTTCTGTTAAAGTGTTTGTGACGTCAAATTTTCGTAATTCCCCAAAATGAATGCATTTTGGGGAAGAAAACGATGAGGTTAAAGGAGACTTTTTATTGTCATTCGCATCACATGTGGTACATGAGGTGGAATATTTTGTACTCAAGGTCCCAGTTACACCCCAAAATATCAATAAAACTTTAAAAGTAACGTTTTGTAAAAAAAAATATACATATATATGCAGCTCAGATGGGACAGTTGAGATATTTGCATGAGTAGTAACAGGAAGTGATGTCAAAGGGCAGCGCCTGCATGTGAACAGAGCATCACTACAATGGTTAACAACAGACAGAAGAGAAGAATCTGATATTTCTTTAGATTATCTTGAGTCACTATCAAAGACAAAGAATCAGAGTTCAAATAAAATTGTTTCAATAAACAAAGACTAGGGAGTTCCCCTTTGATGTCACTTCCTGTTTCACTTCGGCTGCAACAAGTTCAAAATAAACCATCTTATTTATGTGACAAAATGAGTAAAATCATGTGTATTATGCCAAATTTCCTCAATGTTAACATGTTTTCTTCCGCTTTTTTGTATTCGTAGGAAATGCATGTTACAGGCGCTTAAACACGGGTTTGACAAGTGACCTTTAGGACTGGTCTACCGTTCAACTTGGATTACTTTATAACTTATGAAAAAGCTCTCCATAAAGCTAGAACTGCATACAGTATTACTCATGTTTAATAGATGAGAATGCAGATAATGTTTCTGTTCAGTGCCCTGAGACGACTTCTGTTGTGATTTGGTGCTATATAAACAAACTGAATATATATATATTTTTTTAGAGTCAAGTTACCAGTTGACAAATCCTATCTTGCTGTACGAGACATTGTGCCGTACACGAGAGCCTCCTTGTTAACATGGTTGGATTGCTTGTCTTTGTTTTTGGGGATTAAAATAAGACCAAAACAAGACCTAGAATTTGGTGTTTGTTCTTTTTTATTTTTTTGCCCCTAGCTTACACTAAAATTGTGACTCCAAAACCAAAGTACATACCAAACCACATTTTAGGCATGCCATGTTTAAATGAAAACTTAAACTATTTTCCAAGCTTGAAGTTGTTTTAATATTGGAAAATAACCTCATGTATAGTTTTACTGTCTATTTTTTTTTTTCATTTTTTCTTGCCGTGTATTGGCTTCATAACCTTTACCTCACTGGTAGTCAGGTAAAGTTTGTGTACTTGACATAAATAAGTCTGAGAAGCTCGACTCAATGCTCATAGCAGCTTTAGATATAAATTTGTCTTTGTTAGTGTCCTCCTGCCCAGTCAACATGGCCCTCAGCTTGGTTTTATGGGGTCTGTCATGGCCTCAGACGTTTGTAGTGATGAGTTATGTCTGGGTAGTGTAGCTGGCACCCAACACTCTGACTGTAAACGCCCCTCCTCTCAGTTCCTGTCCTGCAGAGGACATGGTTATTTCTGGGTATCAAGGTTAGGCAGGGATATGAGGCCAACATGTCCAGGCAGAGCAATCAAGACACAGGGAGGCTTTCTGCTTTTTAGCAAACCGGTTGGACTAATCTGCATGGGATCTTTGTGGAAATGAGCTTAAATAATCTATTCTGCTCTGCCTGCCTGATTTTTGGACTTTTTTTCTTCCCATCAAATCAGCTGTTTGGTTTGGATGAACAGGTTTGGACTGATCACATGAGCTGACTTTGGTGGTGTGTAAAGTTTGTTGACATCCACTTTCTTCTTGTCACTTTATTTCTCTCTCTGGTTTAGGCTCATTGCAATGACACAATAGTTAATTTAATTGTAATGGATCTTCTAGCAGAGCCTGTAAACATTTGCTGAACTTTTAGTGATTGATTACAACCATGTAAATAGTTAATTTTTTAATCAAGGCTCAGACTGTAGAGAGAAGCCAATCAAACTGTAGCTCAGTGGACGTGTAATATGAATTTGCAGCTCATTGTTCAGTTTCAGCATCTTCATGTAGTTGTTCTGGGTCATCTCCCACTGATTTAAATGTCTGTTTAGAGGTCTTGTGTCTTTTACTTGTGCAGTAGTTTTAGCAGCTTTTCAACTGGTTGAAATTTCAAGTTGTCCCACGTCAGGCGGCAGTCTTTTTTTGTTTCACTTCCACAAATATCTCCGTGTTCAAAACACACATAAAAAAAGTAGAAATTCAAAAACAATTTCACATCCTTTTAACATATTGTGTAGAAGCACAAAGCATGAGCTGTAAAAGTTTTATGATTTGTGATAAATCATGAAGTTATGGTAAGAAATGGCTGAATCTGGCGTCTGTTGTTATGGCAACCGCAAACACCAGCGTGGACTCTTTATAAAATAAATGGGTCAGCTTGGACTCAGAGGAGGTACATAATTCTGTTTTGTGTAGAAAATTAGTTAATAGTGACTGACTGTGAATAAAGATAGTCTATTATAAGAATATGTTTTTGTCATTTGTGTGCAAAATCAAGAATCGTCATAAAGTTCGGACATCAACTTGTGCTATTTTCACTAACAGTTCGAAACTCAGTAATTGGTGTTCTCATGTTTCTCATCTGGCTGAAGTTTTATTGTTGAGCTTTTTTCAAATTTCCAGCCAACTTATGCATACTTTTCTTGTTACACATGTGCACCCAACACGTTGCTGTCCGTTTAACTAAAAATGGTTTGGCTATTTCTGTTCACGTCTCGGATACAATAGAAATGTTTTCCCTTTGTTGCATGTCTCCATGAGGAGGCGAAAGCTGCTGGTGGGATACTTGGTGCTTGTCTGTATTTCAGGTATTTTGAAATGGACTTTTGTGGAAAGGATGTAAAAAAAAAAAAAAAAAAACAGTATCTCAGATAAGTCTTTAAACATTCTTTGTTTGGTGACATACTTTAAATTTTGATTAGATGAGATGATGGAGAAAAAAAAAATTAGACTGATGAGTTTTGTCGGAACAAGTCCAAGATCAAAGTGGATTACTGGAACATATCCAGTCTTTGTATTTTCATCGTGGTTCATTGAAACGTTATTTTATTAACTTTTTCACTGTGGTTAAATTCACATTGCATTATTATTTACACATAATTCAATGCTTTTAGTTGTACAAACTGCTTTAGCAGCTAGCTGTAGCACTTCTAGTGAAGCCCGATGCAATTCAGGAATTTTATGGTATTTTATTATATTTATAATTATATTGTTATATTCTTTATTTTTTAAATAAAATAGTGTTCACATCCATCCATTATATTTACCCACTTCTTCCTTTTTGGATCATGGGGGTCACTGGTGCCCATGTCCAGCTATCACTGTGAGAGGCGGGGGACACCCTGGACAGGTCTTCAGTCCATCACAGGGACACATGGAGACAAGCGAGACAAACAACCATTCACTCTGTCACTCACACCCAGGGACAATTGAGTTACCAATCAGCCTAACATGCATGTCTTTGGTCTGTAGGAAGAAACTGCAGTACCCGGAGAAAACACACACACGCACGGAGAGAACATGCAAACTGCACCCAGAAAGGTCCCGGGCAGGGATTTGATCTACCGACCTTCTCACTGAGAGGCAACAGCTCTATCAGCTGAGCCACCGTGCTGCCCATAGTGTTCACATGAACTGCTAGAAACTCTTAAAACTGAAGTTGTTTTAAGATGGCAGCTGTGCCCTTGGGTTCAGATTAGTCTGTGGCTCCTTAATCCTGGAAAATTTAAGATGTATTTATCTAAACTGAGGTTTTCAGGATTATCTACAACAGATAAGACAATATTTCTTTGTAACTTTTCCGTAGAACCCCATTTCAGAATGACAGAAATATCACTTTCAACAAAAATGTCAACAATGTGACGGCCTTTTTGGGATCCATCAAATAAAAAATACATAATTTTTGTTTTCCTTAAATGACCTTTTATTCGATCTGGTCTTGTAAGTTTCTTTTTGTCTGTGAAATTTTTATTTATAGCCCTGCATTTCTTCATGTAATTAATGTACAATAAGTTTTTTCGGCTGCTCTCTTTTTCAAGGGTTAGTGAGCAAACTCGCATAAAAGATTTGGCTATTTGTTTTACGCTGGATGCCTTTTATTCATGCAACCTGTGCTCGAACCTGCAACCTCAGGATTACAAGACTGACCACCGAGCTACTGCAGCCGCCTGTAATGTGTGTATAAATATAGCAATTAGAAGTTTCTCAACATCACAGATTATCAATGACCATATACAGTAAGAAATACTATGATTGCTCTATTTTTGTTTGATCTAAATTTGTCTGTATATAAATGAGTTTTGACATTTGGTTAATAAGTCATAAGTACTTTAATTTATTTCCATTGTCAGTAGAGTTGTTCTTCATTCTCTTTAAAATTTGAATCGACTCTCTTGTTGCCCCGATCTTATTTTCTTAAAATGTTTGCACTGAAGCATTTACTGTATATGCTTCAGTGCCTCTTTCCTGCAGGATTCCGCAGGGCTCGATTCTTGGACCCCTTCTGTTTTCACTGTATCTCTTTGGGGTCTATCCTAAGAAAACATGGTCTTTTATTTCATTGTTATGCTGATGATCGTCAGATTTATCTGCCCCTAAAACCCAATAGTTCATGCACAATTCACCCTCTGTTATAATGTCTTGATGACATCAAGGCATAAATGGCTTCAAATTTTTTAAGTTTTAACGATCAAAAAACTGAAATCGTGTTTAGCCCTAGCTCTACTGCTGTCTTTGTTCCTGTAAACCTTGACTCTCTTGAGCCATATCTTAAGCAGTCTGTTACAAAAGCAGTCTGTTACAAATCTCACAATGGTTTTAGACTCTTACTTTTAAGTTTAATAAACAGATTAACTCTGTTCTACAAAAAAAAAAAAAAAACCTTCTTCCAGTTCAGGCAGGTAGCTAAGCTTAAATACAGCCTGAGAACTGTATTAAACTTGTTGTTTAACTAGTTTTTCTATCTTTTTTTTTTTGTCTCATTTCTCCATAGGTGAACTGGTGTGTAAATGTTGACCATTAGAAGAGAAGTTTCTATTCTGGGACATGTTTTCTCCTGAAGCCACTATGTGCTGAAACAAAGACTTTTCCAACCAGGATCTGGATGGTCTACCTCCACCCTCATTTTCATCTACCTCTTTAACTCATTGTTCACTACCTCAGCCCGTGCCTTGTTAATGCTATCATCATCAGCCAGCTCAGAAGGACCAGCAGATCCTTCACTTCATCACCAGGTCTCAGGCGTCAGCCGACCTGTACGTTACAGTTGACCAGCCTTCATTATCAGTATCTTCACCTGCTGATTAGGATGGCATGCCAGAAGAAGCCATGATGCGCCCGGGTGTGTGATGTCTGAGCTCTGCATTGGACTACGACGAGTGGAAGAACAGGGGCAAAGTCGCAGAGACGTTCCCCGGTTTGTGATTGGCTGTGAAGAAGATGAACATGACATGGGCCAAATGGATGCTGGTATGATGAACGAGACCGTTCGAGAAGAGAACATGGAGGACGATGATGAAAACGAGTCGGTAAGTGACGGTAAACTGAGATTACAGAGGAAATTTTTAAAAGTTAGGTAATAAATGTGTGACTTTTAAGTGACAATAGAGCCAAATTTGTATCTAAACTCTACATAGAAAATTTTGAAATTAATATATATATTTTGAAATGTTTAAATCTTTAATAAGTAAGATATGATGCAGCTTTACCAAAAAAAACAACAACCAATAACACAAAGTGTACATTACAAATATACACCACTTGTCATGCTCTCGTGTACATCTCTCCACAATTTCCCCCCAGTTTCTTTTAAAATATCAGTTGTCCTGCATGTCCAACTCATTTGACAACCTCACAAGTCAACACTGAAGCACCGTGCAGTTAGTTGATAGCTAACTAGCGACCAAAGATCCATTAATTGCTCAAACTCTGCACTGTTCCAAGGCTAAAAGGAGGCTGAACATTGGACTTGGATCCTCCATGTGAGCAGAAACACAAATAGATTAAATTAATGCTTCTAGTCTCCTAAATGGCACAACAAGTAAATGAATAACAGATTTACACTGCCTGGCCAAAAAAAAAAAGAAGTCGCCACCTGGCTTTAACTAAGCAAATAGTAGGTACAAGCCTCCTATTGGATAATTACTGCATGGGCGATTATGTTTCATCCGACAAGTTATTTAACCCCAACTGGTGCAATGAGTTGCTTCTCACTTCTTAAACAACCATGTCGAAAGACACTTCGTGTGGTCGTGGAAAAGATGTCAGTCTGTTTGAGAAGGGTCAAATCATTGGCATCAAGCAGAGAAAACATCTAAGGAGATTGCAGAAACTACTAAAACTGGGTTAAGAACTGTCCAATGCATTCAAAAAAGTTCAATCTGGTCCTCTGGACATTCAAAAAAACAAAAACAAAACAAAGCAAAAAAATCTAGAAACGTTTCGTCTCTCATCCAAGAGACTTCCTCAGTCTGAGGTGCTGTTTTCAGCTCAGTCTCTTAAATAGCACCTTCTCAGAGTGGATCAACCAGTTTGCTGCTGACAACCAAAACCAGCTGATCACATGCTCAAGAAGGACCATCAGCCTAACAATGGATCGTTAGCACACTGATGGCTGTTTACTGTTCACAGAGGGCTGAGTGATACTAGCAATCACAGCATTGTAAGAGGGGGCCTCCGGGTTCAACTGTCCCCCTCTTACAATGCTGTGATTAATAGTGAAAGTAAGAACATTTCCACACGCACAATGTGAAGGGAACACAAGGGATTGGGACTGAACAGCTGTGTAGCCTTAAGAAAACCACTAATCAGTGAGGCTAACTGGGGAAAAAAAAGGCTTCAGTTTGCTAGGGAGCATAAAGATTGGACTCTGGAGCAATGGAAGAAGGTCATGTGGTCTGATGAGTCCAGATTGACCCTGTTCCAGAGTGATGGGCGCATCAGGGTCAGAAGAGAGGCAGGTAAAGTGATGCACCCATCATGCCTAGTGCCTAGTCATCATAGGTGTCACAACCATTGTATGTGAAGGGGACAAGTCCCCCCCCCCCCCCCACACTCAAAAAAACGTTTCCTGGGGCCCCCCCCACACACACACACACCCACACACTTTTACTATGAAACATTAGTTCAGGCGGCGCAGTTTCTCTTTCTTCGTGAACAAATCCATTCAACTTGATTAATAGGAGAATACTCAAGCCACTAAAACTCCACTCCAGGTTTTCCAGGTTACCTCCCACTCTAACACAGAACAGAAACCGTGCAGGCAGCAGCTGCTGAGTCTCCTGCCTCGGCAGAAAACGCTCACAGGTGGAGGAGATGGAGACACCTCTGTGTTGCTCGCTCACCAGTTTAGCGAGCTTAGTGCGGGCAGTTGTTGACCAGTGGGGGTTGATCATAAACATATATTCACGTTAGGAGGACGCCTGTGAGGAGCGCTACGTCTGTAGCATCTTAGCAGTAACTGTGACGCCGTCAGACGCTGCAGGTGTAAGAGACGCTGTGTGTTCAGGTGCATTAAAGGTGAAATGTCTTTAAAACCCCACATCTCATTGTCCTCAAGCTTCATGAGAAACATCATTTAGATGAGCAGTGTTGAACACAAGTAAAAAAGTCCAGTGGTGATGCTTTTTTATTTCTCTACAAACACAAATAGTGCCGACCTGACGCTCTGTATTAAAGTGTATTAAAGTTAAAATGTCTTTAAAACCCACAGCTGAATTTACACAAACTTGGTGAGAAACATGATTTAAATGTGTGGAATTAAAGGAAATCTAGGTGAAATGCTGCTTTTTTTTTTTGGTACATTAGTGTACACTTCTTTATGCGTGCACACACACCCACCTATACACATCATTGTGTCCCCCCCACATTACGGATGCTTCTGACGCCCTTGCTAGTCATCAATGCAAGATCTTGGTGAAAAATTATTGCAACACTGGATGGAAGTAGATCTTGTGACATTGCAGAAGCTTATCAAAACCATGCCACAGAGAATGCATGCCGTAATCAAAGCCGAAGGCGGTCCGACCAATTGTTAGTGTGTGAGCTTTATTTTGGTGGCAACTTTTTTTTGGCCAGGCGGTGTATAATCTCTTTAGATGCTTAGCCCTAAACAAAAGATCAATAATTAAATCGGTAATGCCGAGTTGAATGATTTAATTTGAATGGATGCTTGTGCGGTGGTGAGTTGATTAGCACTGATGCCTCACATCAAGAATCTGATTAAAAGTCAGTTGAAACCTCTCAGATACAAGCTCTCAGATGTGGACATTATACTTTTAACAAAACATATGAAGTTTACCTTGAAAGTATTCATAAAGTAAATTAAAGTAGAGTAAAAAGTTTCAGATTCTTACATGGCACCTGTATAATTCAGTCTCTTTAACATCTTTATCTTTTCCTGCAGCCGTCGGAGCGACAGATCGTTGTGGGCATTTGCTCCATGATGAAGAAGTCCAAATCAAAGCCCATGACTCAGATCTTGGAGAGGCTTTGTAAGTTTGACTACATCGATGTGGTCATCTTCCCCGAGGAGGTGATTCTGGAGGAGCCTGTGGAGAAATGGCCTCTCTGTGACTGTCTCATCTCCTTCCATTCAAAAGGTACATTTTATACATGTTAGGATGTTCAGTTTTAATCCAAGAAAATTTAACAATAATAATATGGAGTCTAAGCAGGTCCCTGGTTCAAACCCCGGTCCAGAGGCCTTTCTGGGTGGAGTTTGCATGTTCTCTCCGTGCATGCGTGGGTTTTCTCCGGGTACTCTGGTTTCCTCCCACAGTCCAAAAACATACATGTTAGGCTGATTGGTGACTCTAAATTGTCCCTAGGTGTGAGTGAGAGAGTGAATGGTTGTTTGTCTCGTTTGTCTCTATGTGTCCCTGTGATGGACTTGCGACCCGTCCAGGGTGTACCCCGCCCCTCGCACAGTGATTGCTGGACATGGGCACCAGCGACCCCCGTGACCCAAAATGGAATAAGCGGGTAAAGATAATGGATGGATGGATGAATATGGAGTCTATTTTAAATTTAATCCTTTTGGGTGTTGAACACTTGTTGTAGTTCCATTAATGCAATAAAAATGTAGTACTTTTGAGTTATTTCTGCTGTTGGTGCTACAAGCTGCTGGATTTAGTCATGTTTAGTAAATGTGGCATTCTGGAATTAGATTTAACCATTTTAAGTCTCTTTATCTGCCAACAATATAATGTGCTGTGTAAGTTAAACTTGATTTAGCAAAACGTGCATCTGCTACACGCACTAGGTTTGTCAGCTTTTTCATCCCTTCAGAGTGTGCACGTATGTAACAAGCTCCAACTGTAGCTGCTTTATCAATTGGGACTGTTACTTGTCTTTGTTAGAAATGATTGTGTCGACACCGTTGGAACTTGCAGTGAATTTAAGTTTACTCACCCGAAGTTCTGCAACTAAAAAAACCCTCATACGAAACAAAGGCTTCAGGTGCAGAGATGTGAGCTGCTGCTAACTTTGCAAGTCGGGGATCTTTATATTTCCTAATTTTTCTTAGTCTAATCCATCAGCGTGACGGGAGATGTTCTGACAGCTGAGCTCACTATAGTTTCCCTTTCATAATCCTTTCAAAATGAAATACAATGACAGAAAAATGTTCGGAGTAATTTAGCTTATATTTATTTATTTGGGAAGGTATTATGTTTAAAAAAAAAAAAAGCACACAGACTGGAAAAGCACCACTTGAAAACAACTTGGCATGTCACTACCAGGCACCAGGTCAAAAAAATACATATGTATTGTCACAATCATTCATCAGATTCATCTCCTTTAAATTTCTTTTATATTATATTTGTTTTAAATAATTCCTTTGAATTATTGAAAATCACCACCCACATTATTTATCCACCGTAATCATAAGAAGAGCAGCACATAAAAACACGTCTTCATGGTAAGAGTTTAATACACATGTCAACTGGTCAAAAAGGAAAATATGTTAATTATGTTCCTGTTTTGTTAACTATATTAACTGTAAAATATAAAGTAATCGGAGGAATGTGTTGTTTGGTTTCAGGTTTTCCTCTGGATAAAGCTGTGGAGTATGCCAAGCTCAGGAATCCACTGCTCATCAACGATCTCAACATGCAGTATTTCATTCAGGACAGGTACAGCTGCAGCAAACGCAGTTCAGGGAAACTCGAGTTAACAGATGATTTTATTAAGTGCATGTAAATTATGAGCTTCTCAAACATAACACCAAAGCAACATTATACAGACTGCACAAACGAACGGGATAATAACGAGCAAATTGAATCCCTCGTTAGGAGAGAAGTGTATCGGATCCTTCAGGAAGAGGGCATCGACCTGCCTCGTTACGCCGTGTTAAACCGAGACCCTGACAATCCTGAAGGTGACAAGTTTTTTTCTTTTACATTTTGAAATGGCTACACTAGTAAACAAAATAAAAGCACGACCAGTAGACTTAGCTCTCCCCCCCCCCCCCCCCCAAAGTGTTCTTGTAATACCATTATTTATGAAATCTGTAGCATGGAACAAGTTATGACCTTTTGCTGTTCAAGACAAGATGTTTTTGTCTTTCTTCACTAACCACTGATTATTTTAATTGTTTTTTTCATACGCCCATCTAAATGTGGGCGTATTATAATATGTCCGACATTATCCGTCCCTTCATCCAATTCAATTCAGTTTATTTATATGACACCAAGTCACAACAGGAGTTATCTCAGGGCACTGAACAGAAACATTCACATGCATAAAGATTAAATTAGTAACATTATTTATCTGAGGTAACCGGACTCGGGACGAGCGGTCATCTGCTTTGACCAGCTGGGTTTGAGAGGACAGGAAGGAGAAACAGACACAGAATGGCAGGTCCAGAATGGCGGCGAGCAGGTCCCTCTCTAGGATGAAAGACAAAAAAATTCAAATGAATCACGTTAAGATTGAAATAATTACAAATACAAACTATTCATTTGTATTCATTTGATGAAATTAGGTGAATTTGTCCTCCAGTAGTTTAAGCCTATAGCAGCGTAGGATAAGGGATAGCTCAGGAAACCAAGCCAACTCTTACTATAGGATTTATCAACAAGGAAAGACTTGATCCTAATTTCTGTAGTAGACAAGATGTCAGCCTTACGGATAGAAACTGGAAGTTGGTTCCACATGAGAGGAGCCTGATAACTGAAAGCTCTGCCTCCCTTTCTGCTTTTGGAAACTCTAGGAACCACAAGTAAACCTGCAGTCTGAGAACAAAGTGCTCTGTTGGGAAACAGTAAGATCTATAATATAAGATGGAGCTAGGTTGCTGAGCGCTAGATATGTATATTTGAAATTTTTCTCTTGTCCCGCCCATAACTTCAGATCCGCTCAAGATAATTTAACAAAACTCCCAAGTTCAAGGTCACAAATCAAGGTCAAAGTTAAAAATTAAAATGAGGTATTTGCTTTTCCTGCCCATAACTTCTGATCCACCCAAGATAATGTAACAAAGCTTGATATGAATTTGCATCACCGTTACACGGTGTTGCGTAAGCTTTTCATCCCACCAGCTTCAAGGTCACAAATTAAGGTCAAATGTTATTCAAGGTCTTTGCTTGTTCTGGTCATAACTTTGACCACTCAAGATAATTTAATAAAACTTCATACTCATTTCTACCACCACTAGACAGTATGTCACTTAATTTTTTTTCATCACCCGGTTCTAAGGTCAAGGTCACAAATCAAGGTCATAGGTTATACAAGCTTGTCCAGGCCATAGCTATAGATTTCTGTAAACTAGTTTGTCGACGGGCGTATTGAGTACCTTTTTTCTGTACTTTTGTTAACAAATAAAGACGGATTGTGTTTTATTAGTGAACTGACTAATACCCAACTTTTGGTTCCTTTCTGTGTAGAGTGCAACCTGGTGGAGGGGGATGACCATGTCGAGGTGAACGGGGAGCTGTTTCCTAAACCTTTTGTGGAGAAGCCTGTGTGTGCAGAGGATCACAACGTCTACATCTATTACCCAACGTCTGCAGGAGGAGGCAGTCAGAGGCTTTTCAGAAAGGTAGCTGTCTTTCAAACAAACGTGTTTGATTCAGAGGTGCTTCGAACATGACAGGGAAGGTTTGAGGATTATCTGTGATGTCACACAAATACTATTAATGCTTTTACACATCTCAGTGAAGAATAAGAGTAGCGTTTTAGTGACTTGTTTTAAAACTTTTTCTTTTAAATTGTTTATTACAAAATAATTAAAGGCCTAGTGTTTCTTGAAGGCATTTTGCCAGCCAACGTTTTAAACATATCATTTTACCTTGAAACCATTTTGATTAAACCTTAAGAATAAAGTTTTGGAAGTTGTCAGTCTTAGTGTTGTGAATGACCCTCAGCTACTACCATCACATTTTACCACAAAATCTGTAAAATTGACTGAGTTATAGGAATTTTTGTGTTGGCAAAATGTGTATAGCTGCAGTGGATGTCTTGGGTTGCTTCCAAAAGTAATGAGTTTTAGATGTGAATCCAGTGATTACTTTCTGAAAGTTTCATTAAAAGCTCTTCAATGGTTCATGAAATATTTTGCTGACAGACACACAGACAGGCAAAAACGTTATTGCTTGCCTTTCGCCTTTTAGAGGCAGGTGATAAGAAAATGTTTCTACAGCTGCTAGAGCAGACGTGGGCAACATATGGCCCGAGGGCCAAAAGTGGCCCTTGGACAATCTCTATCCGGCCCTCAATATTTTTAATTGAAAACAACTTTTAAATAAGTTGATGAAAACCTGCATTTATCAATGAAACATATGTCTAAATTAAACATCATGAACAACTAGATCAAAAACTTTTGGATTAAGAAAAGCCTAAACCTTTTTCATGAAGTCATTGTGTTCCCAGAAGCTTAAAGACTCCAAAAAGCAAGTATATGGTGTCTTTTTTTAACATATTTAAGCTAACACACATACTGTCTCACGAGCCAGTTTACAAAGAATATGTTTTATATTCCTAGAGTATTGAGGAGACAGATTTTATCAAGCATGCTAACTTCGCTACAACAAGACAAAGTCTGAAATGAGTGTTACAGATTATCTTAAATAAAATCTATTTACTGTTTCTCTATGCGGCCCTTTGATTGATTTAAATATCTTGATTTGGCCCTCTGGCAAAAAATGTTGCCCACCCCTGTGCTAGAGGGTAAGCAAACGAGGTCAACAAAAATCCTGATGTAAAATGAACGAGCCTTTTCTCCCGCCCCGTTATAGATAGGGAGTCGCAGCAGTGTGTACTCACCAGAAAGCAGCGTGAGAAAAACTGGATCCTACATCTATGAGGAGTTCATGCCAACAGATGGTACAGACGTGAAGGTACTGTGGACATTATGTTCGTGTTGGCAACACATGATCGTACCGGTGAATTTGTCAGTTGCAATATTGTGATTTAACCTGTTCTCAGGCATTTTCCTAAACATTTCAGGTTTACACAGTGGGCCCAGACTACGCCCATGCTGAGGCCAGGAAGTCTCCCGCGCTGGATGGAAAGGTGGAGCGAGACAGCGAGGGGAAGGAGATCCGTTACCCCGTCATGCTCACCGCCATGGAGAAACTGGTGGCCCGAAAGGTCTGCCTGGCCTTTAAGGTAAACTGGAATGTAACTGTAGCTCAGTATCAAAAGAAAATACTCATCGTTGAAGTGACAGAACATCAGAAATTCTGCTTTACCTGCGTGGTAATAATAATGTGTACAGTAACCATTTGTAGCTCCCGTAGTTTTAGGACTATAAGGCGCACTTAAAATCCTTGAATTTTCTCAAAAATCGACAGTGAGCCGTATGATCCAGTACGCCTTATGCATGATAACAGACCCTTTCATTGATATTGCGCCTTATAGGCCGAAAAATACAGTAATAAATGTAGCCTCAACCGGTTTCACTAAAACAAGTTGTCTTAATGTTAAACGCGGTTTAAAATACGATATAACTTTGGACTAGTATTGTAAAATTGAACATTTCAAATGCAACAAAAAAACTGTCTGCTGTCAAAGAACACATTTCCTCCCACTCATGAATTAAAGTAATTCAATTGTAAACAAATGGTGTTAAAACATAAGAAGCTACATTTAGTGATTCAGAATTCAAAAACACAACACATAAAAGCAAAACAAAACTGCAAGAAGCACAAGAAATCATTTCATTTTTCCTTTGTGGTGTAAATACTATAAATATGGTGGTTTAAACTGCAGTTTTGCAGATAACTATAAGTTTATTAAGAATTAAACAGATGCAATAAATGCAGGATTCCTTGAAGGGATGCACACTACCTGCCACTTTCAATGCCAAAGTTTAAAACTAATATCTCATGTAATTTGTTTGTCCAATCCAAGTCCAAGGAGACAACGGCACCTGCCTCCCCGCCTTAGAGACTGTGTTGTTCCCTCGAGGATGAGGAACTTTTTGTTGGGGGGCAGTGTAATGATCCTTAAGGAGTTATTGTTACATGCTAATTATTCCTGTTGCACTGTTACTGGTTCTTATGTATGACATGTTCTGTTTGTGCTGCAGGGGTTGTTGGGAAGTGAGTATGGGGTGTGGCTTTTCTTTCTCTTCTGTTGGATTTCTTGTGGTACCTGCAGAGTGGGGCTCGGGAGCTCTGGCGTGGCTCATGGCCGAACGGTGACTCGGAGCTAGTTGATCTGGAATTATCGTACCTGAATAAATTGTTGACAAGAGCAAAGCGTCTGTTGCTTGAGCGACAGTGTCAGCGTTGCATTGGTTGTACACTGTAATGTAATGTTAACGTTACATGTTGGTTTGGACTTTGGACCTGCAAAAACAGGAACAAACTCTCAGGGATTGTCGGGATGTGCAGCAAAACTGCTGACGTAGCCCTACAGAACCTCACACAAGATGAGGTCAGTGAACAAGGCCAGGCAGATTCTGGCAGATCCTGATCACCACTTCATGGTGAGTTCAGGTTGTTTCCATCTGGACGCAGATATCTGCTGCCCAGATGTAGGACGAACAGACTGAAAAACTCGTTCATCCCTGTAGCGATCAGGCTTCTCATCGAACGGAGATGATTTCTGTTGTCTTAATGTCTCAGTGTCTTGTCTAGTGTGGATGTTTCATGTGTCTACTGACTGTGAAACAAACTGTCCCTTGGGGATAATAAATATTCTTGAACTTGGAACAATCCTAGTCCTCGAGGGATATTTCTCTACTCCATCACATCTGATTTGAACCAGTCGATGATTAACAAGCTTCTGCACAACACGAAAAGGTAATTCAACCATAAGTTTAAGTGCGTTGGAGCAGGGAAACAAGTAAAACATGGTGGCCTTTTTAGTAGCAGCACTTCATTGGCTCTTTTTTCGAGGACGGGGGTTGAAGGTGTGAGTTTCATGAAAATCCATCCAGCTGTTTTGAGATGTTTTGCAAACAAAACACAAATGCACATGCACAGGGAATTACATGCATGTCTTTGTGGTGACAGGCAATAATTAGGACTCCAATTCTAATAGTAAATCTTGATTATCTGAATAAAATTATTCAAAATGACAGAGCACTTCTGTTTAGCTCTGCTTTCTCATCATCTTGGTGTTCTTTTAAGTTTTGTTTGCACATCATTCTCTATCTTTGACATGAATATTTCACATTAATGTAAGTTTCTTTTCTCTCTTTTATAAGCAAACTGTGTGTGGGTTCGACTTGCTCAGAGCCAACGGTCATTCTTACGTCTGTGACGTGAACGGCTTCAGTTTTGTCAAAAACTCAATGAAGTACTACGACGACTGTGCCAAAGTCCTGGGGTAGGAGAATGTTCACTAAAACATAAATAGATTAAATTTAATAAATGAAAGCTTCTAGAAAACACAAATAATGTATTAGTGAAAGTACAAATGTCAGATATAAAGTTTGATAAACCAGTTTTCTGATTTTCTCGTTCTTTTTCTGTCACTCTGAATAGTAGTTTTTTTTCTAGAGTTTAAAAAAATCCTTAATGTCAGATACTGGGGTTTAATTAATCCCAAATACAGTAAATTCTGTTTTTGGACGTAATATTATTGCTTGTTTTAGTGCTTCGAGCTTCTTAATGTTGGTTTTGTCCTCTTCATCAGAAACATGGTAATGAGGGAGTTAGCCCCCCAGTTGCACATCCCCTGGTCCATCCCCATGGAGGCTGAAGACATCCCCATCGTCCCAACAACCTCAGGAACCATGTATGTTCTGAAACTAAACAGTGCTGATGAGCGTTCCTGCTGATGCTCCTGCAATTTTTATTTTGGTCTTTGCGTTCTATATTTCATGCTTTTTGTGCGCTTATTGTTTTATAGTTTTTATTTTAAGGAATAGATACACAAGGCACTCACAGTTTTAGTTCACAGAACCTTTGGAGTTAATCGGGGCTGAATGATACTAGAAAATCATACAACACGCTTCAAAAAGTTAAATGTGATGATATGCAAATCAAAATAAAACTTTTATGGGCAGAAACTTGTGCCATCAGAAAGTGAATTTGAATCACTTAGTCTGAATCTGAATTTGTGTAATTTTAAATTTAAACCCATTGGTTTTAACATGAATTTTACAAAATTGAAACTGAATTTAATGGTTTGAAACTTGATCCAACCATTTTCAGTCAGGTCATCTGGACAGTTTATTTTATTTTTATTATTTTTGTTTGAGCTGAAACGTTTCACCTTCCATCCAGAAGGCTTCTTGAGTTATTGAAACACAACACAAAATTGATTCTTCCCCCAAACAGCTTACTCAAGAGTGGAACAAACCAGTTATGCTGGTGCTAAGATGGTCTCTTTTGGCACGCCCCCTCCTCCGGTACCGGCCCGCTCCCTCATCGACAGTCATGTCAAACTGGTTCAAAACCAACAAAGTCCATGCTCAATAATAATAATAATACTTTATTTGTATAGCACCTTTCAAACAAATGTTACAAAGTGCTTCACATTAATCAATTAAAACATCATAAATGACATCAGAAACACAAAAATATACCAAATCAATTAAAATAGATAACATAAAAAAAAACGAAATTCAGATATTAAAAGCCTAAACAAGTAAGTTTGAACTATTGATTTAAAAGAAGACGATGAAGAGGCCTGTCTAATATTTAAAGGAAGAGCATTCCACAAATTAGGAGCCCTGACCAGAAAAGCCCTCTCTCTTTCTGTCACCAGTCGAGCTCTGGGAGTGGAAAGTAATAACGGATTTAAGGACCTGAGATTGCAAGAAGGGAAGTATGGGGTAAGAAGCTCAGATGGATATGGTGGCGCAAGACCATTCAGGGATTTAAAAACAAACAATGAAATGTTTGTCATTTCTAAAAACCACAGGGAGCCAATGCAATGAGGACAGAACTGGAGTGATGTGCTGATGTTTATGGGATCTTGTGAGAACTCTAGCTGCAGTGTTTTGTACTAGTTGAAGGCGATACAGAGAACTTTGGGGCAGACCAGAAAATAAAGAGTTACAATAATCAAGATGACAAAAGACAAAGGCATGAATAAGAGTTTCTGCATCAGTTAAAGAGATAAATGCTCTGATTTTGGCAATATTCTTAATTTGAAAAAAAAAAAAATGCTGTTTTAGTGATGTTCATAAAATGCTTAGAAAAACCAAGTTCAGAATCAAAGGTCACCCCCAAATTTCTGGCTTCACAAGTGCAGTTAAAACCAAGAACAGAAAGGGACTGAACTACTAAATCCCTTTAGGCCTTGGTGCCAAAAACCATCACCTCAGTTTTATCGTTGTTGAGCGAAAGAAAATTATCGGACATCCAGGTTTTGATGTCTGTAAGGCAGAGATAAAGTTTATTGAGTGTGGAGAGGTCTGATGGGTTAATAGCCAAATGACTCTGGAAATCGTCTGCATAAAAATGAAAAACATTGAATTTATGAATAACCTGACCAAGGGTAGCATATAAATAGAAAACAATAGTGGCCCAAGAATAGACCCTTGGGGGACACCACAGGTGAGAGAAGCTGAACTGGAGGAATTATTGCCAGAAATTACCAAAAACGTTCTGTCATGAAGATCAGATTTGAACCACCTCAGAGCAATGTCTAACACCTAACCAATAATTTAGTCAGCCCAGTAGAATATTATGATCAACAATAATCCAGGTATACAATCCAACAATTTTCAGTCAGGTCATCTGGACAGTTTCTTTTTTTTTTTTTTGTGCTGAAACGTTTCACCTGTGTGTTTCCTTGACTGATGAAGCCTTCTGGATGGAAGGTGAAACGTTTCAGCACAAAAAAATAAAATAAAATAGAAACTCAAATGACCTGACTGAAAATTGTTGGATTGTATACCTGGATTATTGAGCATGGGCTTTGTTGGGTTTGAAACTGAATTCATTTGCTTTGAAACTGTATTTCGTTGTGTTGAAAATGCTGTTGGACTCATTTCATTTTCAGTTCTATAATTCAATTTCAATTCCAAAATTCAGTTTTTTGTGTTGCACATCCTGGTCCTTGAGAAAGCCACGGCGTAATCGAACGCAGATTGACAGATTTACGTTTCATGCCAGTGAAACTTCCTTTACGCGTGCGGCCACTGCTCCAGCTCAAAATACGCCGTGAAGGAAGTTCTTCTTCTTTTGTGTTTTACGGCAGATTTTATCCACTCTGTTGCATCACCGCCTCCTTGAGAACGAACCCCGCACCTACATTTCCGTAAAGGAAGTTTCACTGACACGAAATGTAAATCTGTCACTCCGCGCTCGACTACTCTGTGGCCTTCTCAAGGGCCCGGATGTGTGACTCAAAAAACCTGAATTTTTTAATTGAAATTGAATTATAGAACTTTCGATACAACAAAATACAGTTTCAAACCATTAAAATCAGTTTCAATTTAGAGAAATTGTCAAACAAACCAGTGAATTTAATTTCAAATTACACAAATACAGATTCAGTCTGAGTAATTCGAACTCGGTTTCTGATGGCACAAGTTTCTGCCCATAAACGTTCCTCACTTCTTTGTTGCACTTTTATTATTATGCTGCTCACAACTATCTCTTTGAGATTTACCTTCTCAGCTACAGTCTTCTAAATCATGTATGGACATCTAGACCAGGAAAGGTCCTACTGGTCGGCCGCATACATTAATTAGGTGAAAGGCTGGTTACACACCAGTCCGTCACAGGGCCACATAGACAAACAAGGCAAACAACATTCATGCTCTCATCTAGTAACCAATAAGAGTTGATACTTGAGCTAAAGTGTAAGTTTTTAGACTGAGAGAAAAATGAAGTACCTGGAGAAACACACATGCTCTGGGAAAACATGCAGACTTCACATAGAAGTGCACCGGCACTGAGTCGACCTGCGACTTTCTTGCTGCAAGAACCATCTGAGCCGTGTTGATGTTGCATTCAGTGACACCGCAGTGATAATTATTGCCATATTATGCAGTCCCAGAGTTAATATTGCTAATCTAAAATGCTGAAGGCTTTAATAAATCACATTTTAATGTTTTATTTTTTTCTTATGTGCATGTTCATTAAATTATGAATACATTTAAGAGCAGTTTCACATCTAAAACCCTTTTTTTTTCTTCATAATAAAGCCCAACCTTCATGTAATCTTATACAAATTCAGTAACGGACAGTAAAGGTCACGCAGTTCTAGAGCGTTACTGAGAATCACTGACCTCTAACCGTTTCCTGTAATTAGTTTAATGTCTCTTTGGAGTTTATGTCAGAAAATTGATGACAAACAACCAAAAATTGGAGATCTGATTAAGAATTAATGCATATATTTTGTGTTTTATTATAACGTTTAAGATATTTTTGCCTGTCTCATACTTAATTTTGTTTTTCAGGATGGAGCTGCGCTGCGTCATCGCCATCATCCGCCATGGAGATCGAACACCAAAACAAAAGATGAAAATGGAGGTTCGTCATCCTCTGTAAGTCTCTGCTTCAAGGTCTTTGTCCTTTTTTTAACAATACAACAGCTCAAGTTTGCTTTCAGATGCACTTATTAGATTATACACTCTAGTTTATTTATACTCCATGCTGGATGTCAAGGATGAGAAGTATTAGTCAGGAACCAATTGATTAACTGATTTAATCTATTTTTAAAGCAGTCAGTCCTCTCACAGACAGCAAACAGAAACAACTGTGTGTACCATGATTATGATGGTTTTTTCCTTTTTTTTTAACAGATTTTTTGATTTATTCAAAAAGTATGAAGGATTCAAAAAAGGCAAACTAAAGCTGAAAAAGCCGAAACAGCTGCAGGTGAGTGAGACTTGTTTAAACTGCATACTTCTTTTTACTGTGTTCATGCTGGTATATATGATAGCCCTAAATTTTTAAAGCAGATTAAGACTGAATCTTTTTTAAATATTGTTTTAGACATGATTGTTTACTCTTCTTTTTTTTTTTATTGGCTAATTATTATTTTTGCTTGGCTGTCTAATAAACCAGTAACTCTGAATCTACCCTGTGTTTATAAAACATTTTAAAGCCAACTTAATTACTACTGTTTGTGTGTTCTACTCTATAACGATCAGTCTAAACCTGCACAGAGAGGGTGCTCTGGGTAAAACGTTCAACGATAAGTCTTGAGTAAAGCGTTTAAGTCACTGTGTTTGCAGGAAGTTCTGGACATTGCCCGCCTGCTGCTGGTTGAACTGGGCCAGCATAATGATTGTGAGATCGAGGAGAAGAAATCCAAACTGGAGCAACTCAAGACCGTCTTAGAAATGTGAGATGTTTTACAAAAGCACACACCTTCAGACATTACACTGCTTTTTTTGGCGTCATCATTCACCGACTGATCCTGCGACATCTGCTTTTCATCAGGGTTCAGTCATCGTTCTCATTTTCACACATTCACCATGAAAACGCTTCATCTCTCTCCTCTTGACTTATGGCCTTTTGTTTTTGTTTCTCTCTCTTTCCCCTCTATCCCTCTTCTCTTCTGCCCACCCATCTGTCCTTCTCTTTCTTCAAAAGGGAATCCAGCTTGAATGTCAATCAGTACGCACCCTCTCCCTCCTCACTTTAAAGGATGAGGTTTTACTGCCCTCATTTTTGTTGCCCACATAGATCGTGTGTACAAAGTATTAGGAACATAATTTTTTCTTGGACACAGACCAATCTGGCTATTCTTGACACAAGCTGGCACTTTTCTTAGGTTTCACCCATTAAAACTATATTTTAGGCAATAAAAGCAGGAAAATTAGTCAATCTAGCTATAGTTGGTACAAGATCAGACATTTATGGTAAAATTTTAAAGGCATTCCTAATGTTTTGTACACTTAGTATTCTTTTAAAATTTCATTCATTTTTGGCCATTAACTCTTGACACATACACAGTCAAATGAGAATTTTACTGTGTTTCTGGGTGTGTAGTTTAGCGTTTGCTCTACGTTTCATTGTGCATGTTATTTAAAACCAAACAACTTGACTCCAAGTCTCCTAATGTCTTCCCACTGCTGCCTCTTATGTGCATTTATATTTATACTTTATTTATTATTCTGTTTGCTGTTCTTTGTTGTAAATTATAAATATATTGTGAAAATTGTTTAGAGGGACTGATTGCATATGTTCCTCTTGCTGCACATCCTTTCCAACCTGATCCCCATGTCTCGCTAGTTTGTACAAGTCCTTTTTGCTCTCTTTAGTGTCCAGCCTCCCTTAAAATTTCCATTCTCTTGGCAAAATCCACCACCATCTGTCCTTCCTGGTTTCTTTCCTTGACACCAAACCTAACTATCACTTCCTCATCCCCTCTGTTTCCTTCACAAACATGTCCATTCTGGTCTGCTCTGATCACCACTCTCTTCTCCCTGGGAATACTCTCTATCACTTCATTCAGATCCTTCCAACATTTATCTTTCTCCTCTACGTCACATCCAACCCGTGGAGCATAACCACTGACAAAATTTAGCATCAGACCTTCTATTTCTACCTTCAGACACATCACCTTATCTGACACTCTTTTCACCTCTACTACATTCTTTGCCAACTCCTCCTTGAGGACCCCCCTTACTCCATTTCTCTTTCCATCCACACCATGGTAAAACAGTTTGAACCCTGCTCCAATGCTGCGAGCCTTGCTGCCCTTCCACTTGGTCTCTTGGACACATAAAACATCTACCTTCCTTCTCTGCATCATGTCAGCCAGATCTCTATCTTTGCCTGTCATTGTCCCCACATTTAGAGGTGCCACCCTCAGTCCTACATTCTTGACTTTCCTCTTCTCTCTCTGTCTCCTGACATGTTTCCCTCCTCGTGGTCCTTGACTAACAGTAGCACAATTTCCGCCGGCGCCCTGTTTGTCAACAGCACCGGTGTCAGTCGTTAACTCGGACCTGGACCGATCCATTATAGTGTCACTTAAATGAACTTACATTATAAATCTGGCAAAAGCGTTTTGCATCGAATGCCCTTCCTGACACAACCCTGGGCTTGTGACCGACACAAAAGATGAATTGACGTTCTCCCTAGTGGCTGGTTTGAAAGAAAAGTAAAGTAACTTTACAAAATTTTATAAAATTATTATTGTTTTTTTTTTTGTCATTATGGGACACTGAGTGTAGACTTATGAAGAAAGCTGGAGCTCCTTTTCCTGTAAGTGTTGTTTGAAATTTGTAAGATTTATGATTGTACCATTTTTTTTTTTGTTAGTTTTTTCATTCATTGAAATCCTTTTATAAATAAACCTGCTTTCAGACTTCATCCTACATCTCTTCTTCTTTTAAAACATACTGAAAGGTTTGACAGGAAACAAAAATAAGGAGGTGCACAATAAATAGAAATGACACAAAAGTGCCACATGCAACTGGTTTGGCGTGCATCGTTGATCTCGAGGTTTAGAACGACTTGTATAATGCTCACTTGTAAAATCAGCTGATGAGGATGCATTTGCGTACAGTACCTACAAACTAGAGTTGCATTCGGGCCCAAAAAAGTCAGATCCGACCCGGCTCCAGCCTGTAGCCATCATTTCCAGACCCCACCCGACCTGACGAATCAACAGTAACTACAGGTCTGAACCCGAAACACCCCCCGACATGTTTAATTAAGCTTTGACTGCTTATATAGTTATTAACGGTCGATTAATGAAGCTTAACTGAACTTTATTTTACCTCTTTCAAGGCCGGTCAGTTCGCGGTGAAATGACTGTGTGCGGCTGGTGAAGGTATGGCAGGCCATGTTGTCATATATGGTAAGCCATGTTGTCATATATGGTAAGCCATGTTGTCATATAATTGGATCGCGGTTGAGCCGCTGACGCAATCAAAAGCCCGACACTGACCCAGCCCGCTACAAATTCGGGTCAGGCCGGGCTTCGGGCCCAGGTTAGAAATGACATTTCTACTAAAAAGTAGTTTTTAAGCTGTTTTAATATAATTTATGTCCAGTATACATCACAACTACAAAGTTTTCCCCCAAAATGACAAAAACAAATTTGTTTTAGGTATCATAGGTAGTAATAGAAAATTTGTCACAACATCTTGAACAACCTTCTTAGACCTCTTAAACGAGAAGGCCTCACTTTTTAATTTTCTCACACCTCCTTGGATTTGCCTGCCCACATTTCTTTATCCCTTTTCAGTGTCCAGCACCACATGACTTTGTTAGAGAACATTTTGTGTGCCTCACTCAGCAGGATTTGCTCATTCCTTAACACCTCTTAACTTGATGGGCATATTTTTCATATCAACACATGCAGTACATGCATACTAAAGCCATGTCTGAACTTCTATGGCACTACTAGTTTATAAGTGTCCAAAATACCCTAAAATAACTAAATCTCATTAAACCTCATGCTACTAATTATAGTAAAATTGTTTGAACAGCGTGGCTGATTCAAAAGTTGTTGCCTTGTTCTTTTTCTCTTTTAAGCTTGTTATAAGAAAACAAGGAATGATGTGTGTTTAGTGTTGCACATTCAAACAGGTTTAAAGATAAGAGTCATTATGTCGTCTACCTGCAGGTTTGTAAACTTTATTGCGTCTGCTTGATGTGTTTGTCCAACCCCTGCAGGTATGGTCACTTCTCAGGTATCAACAGGAAAGTCCAGCTGACCTACCTTAGAAACGGGCAGCCTAAAGCCTCCAGTGAGGAAGAAGGTAGCAAGAAACACACAGTGTTTGTCCTGTGCGTGTGCGTGCGTGCATGTCGTAAGTTACTGTATATATATGGATATATGGATGGAATTTAAAAATACTACTATTATTTTTATTGCTCATTGATGTGGGGAAAAACAACAATGTAAACATAAATGGACATTGTAATAAAGATACTGAACGCATTTAGATGGTTTTCAGAGTTACTAAAATATTTTGAGTTTTAATGTTCTGTTTTAGTAGAATAATGTAGTTATAAACCCATTAGGTTCTTATGGTTTATTTCTTGGCGTTATTGCCACAAAGGGAAGGAAGTCAAATAATTGATAACAATCTGTAGTGGGATAAAACCTGTTCTGATTATGTTGCTCGACAAAGTCTGCAGTTTTGTTTCTGGTAATTGGAATAATGTCATTGAAATCAAATAATGTGCCACTGGTTCATTTTCTTGAGGCATATGGAGAAGAAGGAACTCACAGTGATGTTGGTGTAATAAAAAATATCCTTCAAAAATTACCAGCTCAACTAATGACATGCAGACAGAACTAGAAAATGGGTTGTGCGTGGTGTCAATTAGGATGTAGTCCAGAATGATCCTGAGGCAAAGTAATATTAGTAATATTAATAAAAATGTTATTGTGTACATTTGTCACTTGTTTGATATGAAGCTTCAATGAGGTGGAAATGATTGTATTTACATGTTCACATCTTGTGAACGTGACTGCTATAACAAAGCGTACATAGTGTCTTTGGTGAAAGTTGTAACGTTATGCAGCATCATGACGCAGCACGAACGTTTTTGTTAATGCACCATTTAAGAGAGAAAAATCCTTTGCCGTTTTCTGTGTTCAATTCAGTTCAGTTTATTTATACAGCGCCAAGTCACAACAGAAGTCAACTCGGGGCACTGAACAGAAACATTCATACATAAAAATAGTAAGTCAACAGAAACATTAATATATGTTTTCTTTAGACTGTAAGAAGGACGGTCCATCTCTGCTCCTGGTGTTGAAGTGGGGCGGGGAGCTGACGCCGGCAGGACGGGTTCAGGCTGAGGAGCTGGGCAGGGCCTTCCGCTGCATGTATCCTGGAGGTCAAGGTAATAAAACACGCACAACGCATGCAGTAAAAAGAGCCCTTCATCTGCTTAGATGTCAGCTACCTCATTTTTGTGTCCTTTTGGGACAGTATATATATATATGCATGTAAATAAACCATATAGTTTGACTCCCTTTGTGTGAATCTAATGATTCAGGATTACATAAAATTAAACTAATATAGAAGTAAAACTGTAAAATGTCTTAAGAAGAAAAAACAGATTTGAATCATCCACCCAATCTTTCTACATGTGTTTTTCTTATTAATTTTTTATGTGGTTTTACCACATGCTGTGTTGACAGCCACCACATCATTAAATAATTCAAAAATGTTTCAGCTGTGAGGTGACAAATGTAAAAATTTAAACTGAAATCAAAAACTATAAGGAGTCTGTACTAGAGTACTGTAAGTCAAGTCCTTCGACTTTTCAATAAGACAGCTGTGCTGTGGAATGAAACTTTATTTGGGCTGTAATTTCCAATCGATCAAATAGTTTATGTTGGTTATGACCTGTCTACACATGAAGTCCACTGAGTTAGGAAAACGTGAAAATTGTCTAACAGTCCCATGTTTTCCTCTGCTGTAAGCAAATATGAATACGTTTGAGCCTAAAAATACTGCCCAGGTGCCCTCCTTTTTATTTTTATGTTTTGAACCGTTAGCTAAAGGTCATAAGCATGCTTATGGCTAAATGTTAGCATTTACAGTTCAGTGATGTTCAAGCAAAGTCATACTGTGTTGAAGAGGGTTCAGAGGTCGACCTTTAGTTCAGATTATGTTATCAGTCACTGACTTCAGCATTCTGCAACATTTATAGTCAAAGATAAACCAGTGGTGGCTGTAGTTGAGGTTAAAACCAATTTATCAGTAGAAACTAAGAGTCAAAACCTTTCAAATCAAACCCAATCCATGGCATTAGCTCACATTTATACAAATGTCAAGTTTAATTTATTTCTCTTTATTACTTGAATTACCTCCTTCTAATCCAAATAACAGTATATGTCTTTAAACACTGAGTTTAAAACATTACCAAAAGCACAATTTATTAGTCGTTATTAGGGGTATAAACGTAGACGGAGTGAGATGGAGGAGGATGACTCGCTGTGGCGACTCCTGAAGAGGGAAAAGCTGAAAGAAGAAGATGATTAGGGGTATAAAAGTACAAGTATCTGTTCCAGACCATCTCATTACAGACATCAAAGTCCGGTGCGCACAGTTAGTCGCACGCATCTGATTTACAGGAAGGAGTGCACATCCTCGTAATCTCTTTCTGCTAATTTCTTTGAATGAAAAATAGTAAAAAAATATATACTTTCCAAAACACTGAACACAAAAAGAACCTACAAATGTGTCATTCAGATAAATGATTGTTTAAAACAGCTGTATGGAAACATTTCCCAGTAATCTTAGTGGAAATGGAACAGATGGGCAAATATAAAGCTTAATGGGTCAAAATTTAGGGGCTTTTATTCTCCTTGGAAATTATTAAACGCGTCTATATTCAAGGAGTCAAGGATCTTTGTCATTCGCATCACATGTGGTAAGTGAGGTGGAACGAAATTGTGTACACAAGGTCCCATTTACACCAAACAGCAAAAATATAAAGTGTAAAAAGAAACAGTAAATAAGGATCTGAGATATAAACCAAGATATACACTAAATGGTACACTAAAAGATCTAAGATATATGCCAGTCAATAATAGTGCAAAACAATATATATAATATATATATTTATATAGTGCCAAGTCAAATAGGCCGTCTCAGTGCACTCTGAAGAAATATTCACATACATATAAAAGCTAATTAATCCAGCAGATTGTGTTGAAACGTCACTTTGTGACAGTGTCCCACCCTGAGCAAACACAAAGGCAACAGTGAAAAGGAAAAACTTGCTTTTAACAGGAAGAAACCTCCTGCAGAACCAGGCTCAGGATGAGCGGCCATCTGCTTCGACCAGCTGGTGTTTGAGAGGACAGGAAGGAGAAACAAACATAGAATGACAGGTCCAGGTGAACTTTCTATAGGAGGAAAGACAAAAACCTGATAAGATAGAAATAATTACAAATACAAACAGGAAGAGTAGAGCAAGTAAAGACACAGAGGAAATATGGTCAATTTGTCCTCCATTAGTCGAAGTCTATAGCAGCACAACTAAGAGATAGTTCTGGAAACCCAAGCCAACCCTAACTATAGGATTTATCAAAAAGGAAAGTCTTAAGCTCAGTCTTAAAACTGGACAATGTGTCAGCCTCATGGACAGAAACTGGAAGTTGGTTCCACAAGAGAGGAGCCTGAGAACTGAAAGATCTTCCTCCCATTCTACATTTGGAAACTCTAGGAACCACAAGCAAACCCGCCATCTGAGAGTAAAGTGCTCTGTTAGGAAAATATGGAACAATAAGATCTGTAATATAACAAGGTTGTTGGGAGCTTTGTAGAAGTAAGATTTTGAATTAAATTCTGGATTTGACAGGGAGCCAATGGAGAGAAGCTAAAACTGGAGAGATATGATCTTTCCTTTAAATAAATATTTGTACATCCAGATAATAAACCATTGCTATAGTCTAGTCTAGACGTGACAAATGCATGAACCAATTTTTCTGCATCATTTTTAGATGAGATGTTTCAAATTTTTGTAAAATTACGCCAGAGGAAGAAGGCGGTTCTAGTAACACTTTTAATGTGGGGATAAAAGACGTCCTGATAGAAAACACCACCAAGATTTTTAACATTAGAGCTGGAGGACAGATTAATGCCATCCACGGAGGGAGAAGGGCTGAAAAATGTATTCATAAGATGCTCAGTTCCAAAACCACAACCTCTGGTCTGAGTTGAAAAGCAGAAAATTTAAGCAGGTTTTTATGTCTCTCTTGTAAATGAGTCCTTGAGGCTCAATGAGACTAACCTGTATAAATAAAGGTTGAATTGAATTGAATATGTCTTTAAGACATGCTTGTAGTCTAAGTAACTTATTGGATTCATCGGGTTTCACGGATAAGTATAACTGAGTATCATGAGCAGAAAGCTTTTAGAAAATTAAACAGCTTTATCAGCTCTTACATATTGTATTTAGCCTGTGCACCACTGTATTGTGCAGTACTGTATTTTCATTCTGCAGCTGGTTGTGGATTAATGCACAGCCATGCACAATGAACAACGCCCATGCTGGTAGTAAATAATGATCAGCCGAAAGCAAATGAGTTCAGCGATTTTCATCCATTCAATTTTGCGTGAAAAAAATAAACCCGCTGGTTGCATGATTTATTTGAAATTTTTTTTTCTACTTTTTCTCCTGTTGAGTTTTTAACTGGCTTGTGACACTCATTTACTGTCTTATTTTAGTTGTTTTTAATGCATGGGAATCAATATCAGAACTGCTTAGACAACTTGAAGCATAACTAAAAGTGTATGTAATAATATCATACAACCTGTGTTGCTTTTCTTTTCTTTTTGAAAAGAAAGCATTTTTTTTCATCACCAACTGTTTTCATACCTCGTTCTTCACCACAACTTTAGTCGAGTAACTCTGCTCTTCTCTTGTCACCTGTTGTTGTGCTGTGTACACTACCAGCGGGTAATGGTCAGTCCCTTGGCTGTGACTCCCCTATTGACTTTGGTAAGAGAAGGGTTTTCTGACTGTCACCGCTCCACCTCTTCTTTCTTTGAGCGTTTGCTCCTCCGTCCACACTCTGTGATTTTGGTTAATCACATTTATAACAAGCTGTTTGTCCTAAACTGAGATTGCAGTGGATTTTTTTGTGTTTATGTGCCTTTAAGGTGACCCACCACAGCTGACATTGCTCACACAGCCAGTGATGATAAATTAGATCTTATATTAAATTTGGCATGCTTTTCTTCTTCTTCTTGAAAAGATAGTTTATTTAAACTTGTGTTAAATCTTTAGATCCTTCATTTTTAGGTTTTACATACCAAGCCATTTAAAAAAACTATCTGGGGCCTCATGTATGAAAGTGTGCAGCACTAATATTGAAAGTTGGTGTAGGGACAAAATGTGAAAAGTATGTACACACAAACATATTCAGATTTATCAAACCATGTTTCTGTGCACATTTCCTTCAAACATCCAGACAAACGTAGAACTGAGCACACACAAGGTACTTCCCCTGACACATCTTCATTTAAATATGCAAATAGTTCGCTGTGGCCCTGACGAAGGGAGCAGCCGAAAGAAGAAGAAGAAAAAGTAACATGAGTCAGAGACCCCCCTAAATAAGTAGTGGGGTGTAAAAATGTCACAAAGAAGAGTGATTGGGTGTGTGAAGCTGTCAAAACGGTGCACACCCACAGAAGTATCAAAAAGGTTAAATAGATAAAAAGGTGTGAGTAAGGTGAAGGATGGCTACCAGTTGCCTCTCATCCAATAATGTTAGACACCATGTACTGTACATGAAACACGTTATTGTGATTGAGTCAAACCAGGGGGCACTGATCTGCCTGTGCACTTCTGAGACTGAATTAGGGTTGGATTGTGTTAGGATTGGACTGTGTTATGGTTAGACTGTGTTAGGGTTGACTGCGTTAAGGTTAGACTGCGTTAGGGTTAGACTGTGTTAGGGTTGACTGTGTTAAGGTTAGACTGCGTTAGGGTTAGACTGTGTTAGGGTTAATTGCTTTAGGGTTAGACTGTTAGGGTTAGACTGTGTTAGGGTTAGACTGTGTTAGGGTTGACTGCTTTAGGGTTAAACTGTGTTAGGGTTAGACTGCGTTAGGATTAGACTGCGTTAGGGTTAGACTGCGTTAGGGTTGACTGCGTTGGGGTTAGACTCTGTTAGGGTTAGACTGCGTTAGGGTTAGACTGCGTTAGGGTTAGACTGCGTTGGGGTTAGACTGCGTTGGGGTTAGACTGCGTTGGGGTTAGACTGCGTTGGGGTTAGACTGCGTTAGGGTTAGACTGTGTTAGGGTTGACTGCATTAGGGCTAGGCTGCTTTAGGGTTAGACTGAGTTGGGGTTAGTCTGCGTTAGGGTTAGACTGCGTTAGG